ATTCTTTTGCAATTTTTCTTTTTTTTTTGATCCGAAAAGTTGAAAAATCGAAAAACTGAAAAATTGAAGAATTAAAAATCAAAACTGTAACACTGAAAATTCGAAAAACTGAAAATTTAAATAGTGAGAAATTAAAAACCGAAACATTGACAACTTGAGAAATAGAAAAACTGAGGAATCGGGAAATTGAAAAGTCAAAAAATCAAAGAAACGCCAAAAATTGACATATTGAAATATCGAAAAATTTGAAGAATCGAAAAACAAAAAATCGATAAATCAAAAATTTGAAGAATCGAAAAACAAAAAATCGATAAATCAAAAATTTGAAGAATCGAAAACTGAAAAGTCCTCAAACTAAAATCTCGGAAAATTAAGAAAACGAAAAATCTAAAGGCAAGAAGTCGAAAAATCGAAACATAGAGATATCGACACATTAAAAAATGGAAAATTGAAAACTTAGCAAGTACTAGGCCCGCCCACCCGCCCCCTACTTACTCAAAGGGTATGTTATTTGCCAAAATAAGTCTTATCTTAGCAAGTACTAGGCCCGCCCACCCGCCCCCTACTTTATCAGAGGGCATGTTATTTGCCAAAATAAGTTTTAACTTAGCAAGTACTAGGCCCGCCCACCCGCCAATACTCTATCAGAGGGCATGTTATTTGTCAAAATTAGTCTTTTCTTACCAAGTACCCTGCCCACCCGCCCCCTATTTTGTCAGAGGATGTCATTTGCCAAAATCAATCTTATCTTAGTAGTTATTAGCCCCGCCCACCCACCCTCACTTTTCTTGAAAGGTATGTCATTTGCCAAAATGCTAGTATTTGCTAAGATAAGACCGATTTTGGCAAATCAGAAGATCGTGTGAGAAAACAAGGGGTGGGTGGGCGGGTTCAGTACTTGTTAAGATAAAACTGATTTTGGCAGATGCCATATCCTCCAAGAAAATAAAGGGCGGGTGGGCGGGGCTAGTCCTTGCTAAGATAAGACTAATTTTGGCAAATGATATATCGTCTGAGAAAATAGGGGGCAAATCTAAAAAATATGAATGCAATGATAAATTACAAGTAAAAACTCATCATATTGTGCACATTTTGGGTAGAATTTATTCGGCAAAATTTTGTGCTGACGTCATACATTTTTTGGAGGGGATAAGTAAATATATTTTGATTAAACGTTTATCATGCTCATACAGGGTAGGGTGACCCAAATTTTGTTTCCCCATTAAAACAAAAAAGGCACCCACAATGTGAGAATACAATAGATACTGTTATTAATGTTATTATTTATCAGACTCATATGATATCTCAATGAATGCAGAAAAAAATTTCCAGAAGAATCTCCAAAACAAATTCATATTCATATCAAAATTGGTCGAACATTATACCGGAAAACCAAAAAAACGAGAAATGAAAAACTTTTACAAGTTGAAAACTGAAAAAATGAGACTTTGAAAAATTTCCAAAATTAAAATGTTGAAAAATTGAGAAATCGAAAATTTGAAAAATCGGGAAATTAAGAAAATGAAAAGTCGAAAGTTATCAAGTACTAGGATCGCCCACCCGCCCCCTGCTTTATCAGAGGGCATGTTATTTGCCAAAATAAGTTTTAACTTAGCAAGTACTAGGCCCGCCCACCCGCCCTTACTCTATCAGAGGGCATGTTATTTGCCAACATTAGTCTTATCTTACCAAGTACCCCGCCCAACCGCCCCCTATTTTTCAGAGGATATGTCATTTGCCAAAATCAATCTTATTGTAGTAGCTATTAGCCCCGCCCACCCACCCTCACTTTTCTTGAAAGGTATGTCATTTGCCAACATGCTAGTATTTGCTAAGATAAGACCGATTTTGGCAAATCAGATGATCGTGTGAGAAAACAAAGGGTGGGTGGGCGGGGCTAGTACTTGTTAAGATAAAACTGATTTTGGCAGATGCCATACCCTCCAAGAAAATAGAGGGCGGGTGGGCGGGGCTAGTCCTTGCTAACAAAAGACTAATTTTGGGAAAATAGGGGGCAAATCTAAAAAATATGAATCCAATGATAAATCACAAGTAAAACTTTATTGGGTAATACAAAAATCAAAGTAACGCCAAAAATTGACATATTGATATATCAAAAAATTTGAAGAATCGAAAACTGAAAAATCGAGAAATTGAAACGTCTAAAATTGAAAAGAGGAAAAATTAAAAAAATTAAAAATTGAAAAATTGAAAAATCCAAAAATTGAAAAATTTCACATTGAAAAAAGAAAAATTATAAAATGACAACATTAAAAAACTGAAAAATTGAAAAAATGAAGAAAATAAAAGGCAGAAACGAAAAATCGCAGACTGAAAAATTGACGAAAAATTAAAAACTGAAATGTCGTGAAATTGCAAATCAAAGATCGTAAAGTCTAAAAATCCCAAATTTGGAAAATTAAGTTCTTGATTTTGATTTTTGATGTTTCCGATTTTTTAATTTTCAATTTCTTGATTTAAAATCACTGTTTTTCGTTTATTCAATTTTTCAAATTTTCATCTTCGATTTTCTTCCGATTTCTGAATTTTTCGCTTCAAGTTTTCAAGTTCGTGATTTCATTTAATTCTTTTTCAATGTTTCTATTTTTTTTTTATTCGAAAAGTTGAAAAATCGAAAAACTGAAAATTTAAATAGCCAGAAATTGAAAAATTAAAAACCGAAACATCGACAACTTGAGAAATAGAAAAACTGAGAAATCGAGAAATCGAAAAGTCAAAAAATGAAAAAGTCGAAAAATGGGGAAGTCGAAGAGTCGAAAAATCAAAGAATCGATTTATAGAGAAATTAAGAAAAGGAAAAATCGAAAATTTCGATACGCCAAAAATTTATTCGGCAAAATTTTGGGATGACGTCATCAATTTCTTGGGGGTAATAAACAGATATATTTTGGTTACATGCTTCCAGTAACTTTAAAACGTCTGTAAGATTGCAAAGTATTGTATAATTTTTGCAATTCCTGATTTATTCAATAAAATAAATAGTTTGATTCTTTATTTTTTTGAGTCACCCTGTATAAGCAAATCTAAAAAATATGAATGCATTAACAAATTACGACTATAGACTGATCATATTTTGCACATTTTAAATAGGATTAATTATAAAATCGAAATTGACAAATTTATAAACCGAAAAATTAAAATATCGAAAAATTGAAGAATCGAACAATTGAAAAATCGAAAAATTAAAAAATCGAAATATCGAAAAATCCTGAAAGTGAAACATCGAAAACTTGAGAAATCGAAAAATTGGGTAATAGAAAAGGCAAAAAATCAAAGAAACGCCAAAAATTGACATATTGAAAAAAATCGAAAATTTGAAGAATCCACAAACTGAAAAATCGAAAAAGTGAAACGTCTAAAATTGGAAAGAGGAAAAATAAAAAAATCTAAAAGTCGAAAAATTGAAATATGTACAAAAATGGAACAATTGTTAATATAAAATTTAAAAAATTGGTTCAAATTTCAACAGAACTTTCCGCGCTTCTGAAGTAAAATGAAACAAACAATAAACACTCAATCAGATTTAACAATTTAACTTACTACGGAAATTTGCATTTTAACACCCTTCAAATTTAACAAAGAGGCAAAATCAGTCTTTATCTTAGCAAGTACTAGCCCCGCCCACCCGCCCCCTACTTTATCAGAGGGCATATGTTATTTGCCAAAATAAGTTTTAATTTAGCAAGTACTAGGCCCGCCCACCCGGCCCTACTCTATCAGAGGGCATGTTATTTGACAAAATTAGTCTTATTTTACCAAGTAACCTGTTTTCTCAGAGAATATCTCATTTGCCAAAATCAATCTTATCTTAGTAGCTATTAGCTCCGCCCACCCATCCTCACTTTTCTTAAAACGTATGTCATTTGGCAAAATGCTAGTATTTGCTAAGAAAGACTGATTTTGGCAAATCAGATGATCGTGTGAGAAAACAGGGGGTGGGTGGGCGGGGCTAGTACTTGTTAAGATAACACTGATTTTTGCAGATGCCATATAATCCAAGAAAATAGAGGGCGGGTGGGCGGGGCTAGTCCTTGCTAAGATAAGACTAATTTTGGCAAATGACATATCCTCTAAAATAGGGGGCAAATCTAAAAAATATTAATGCAATGATAAATCACAAATAAAAACTTATTATATTGTGCACATTTGGGAAAATTCGAGAAACTCAAACGTCTAAAATTCAAAAGAGGAAAAATTACAAAATCTAAAAATTGAAAAATTGAGATATCCAAAATTTGAAAAATTGAAAAAACGAAGAAAATAAAAGGCAGAAACGAAAAATGAAAAATTAAAAACTGAAATGTCGTGAAATTGCAAATCAAAGATCGTAAAATCTCAAAATCCAAAATTTGGAAAATCAAGTTCTTGATTTTGATTTTTGATGTTTCCGATTTTCTAATTTTCATTTTCTTGACTTAAAATCACAATTTTTCGTTTATTCAATTTTTCAAATTTTCATTTGAAATTTTTCAAAATTGTAAAATTAATTATTGGATTCTCAATATCCGATTTTTGAATTTTTCGCTTCAAGTTTTCAAGTTCGCGATTTCATTTAATTCTTTTTCAATTTTTCAATTTTTTTTTGATACGAAAAGTTGAAAAATCGAAAAACTGAAAATTTAAAAAGCGAGAAATTGCAAAATTAAAAACCGAGAAATCGAAAATTTCGAAACGCCAAAAATTTATTCGGCAAAATTTTGAGATGACGTCATCAATTTCTTCCTCAGCAATTTACCATGATTACGAAAACCGTAAAATATTTACAAGATTTCAGAGCAATCGGTTTTGTAGTTTCAAAGTACGTTGCAAAATATTGTTATTCAGTTGTGATTTTTTTCCAAAAATTCGGGATGTCTAGGGTGAAAATTCGACACGGATTCATACACCACAAGTACAGGAGTGACAACAATTGGTTAGTTAACTTCACCGCGACTAAACTTTTAGCTACTTGTAGTTAACTATTTAACCATAGTGTTTACCTGAAGGGGTGGAGTCTGCGAAAGAGCTGGGTGGTACGTTAATGGGTGTGGGTAAGGCACAGTCGAGCTCATCGGGGGTAGCTGGTGGCGGTATGAGCGTCAGATCGATTATGTCCGGGTCGAAAACGTACAAACCGTCGATCTCTTGCGAGTTCTTCATCTCGCGCAGTTGTTGTAAGTAGGTTTGTAAATCGACGTCCTTACTAGAGTTATCGGGGCTGCGTAGACCGAAACTGATCCTGTTCGCCTTGGTGTCGCTACTTTTGTGTTTAGGCGAATTGTGTGGTGTGTAAAGAGAGTCATTGTCGCTCTCCGATTGGTTGGATTCCGATCGCAACAACTCGACTGCCGCGTTAGTAAAAACTCTTTGTTCTTTGGGCGGGGCGTGAGTTTTACTGAGTAACAATAGCGAATCGCTGTGTTTCAACTTGTTCCTGCTACCGTCTTCACTGAAGAAACTATCCGTGTCGCTCTCTATATCGACACTGGTTTCTTGCCATTCCGACAACTGGTTCAAACGTTCGTGGTTCTCGTGTTCCGTCAAGTACCTCTCTGAATTTTCTACTAGTTGTTGCATCTCTTGGACTCTCTTCAAGACGTCGTCGTTGCGTCCACTTTCGAGGATCTCCATTGACACTACTGTTTGGATGTCGTACGAATTGTCGTTAGGTTGGTGGTTCCGATTAGACAACGAACTGTTCATGTTGCTGTCTAGACTATACGCCAACACTAAGGGAGGTTTCGATTGTCGCCCCATCGTGTTGTATAAACCGTTCGTTCTTTTATTGACTGCTTGGTATGGAGGTGGCATCGTGAACGACGCCGACTTCATAGCCACTTGACTCGTGTAGCTCCACTTCTCCGGGATTACTTTATGTTGCGACAAATACGGCGGCGCCAAGTCCTCCATCGGTGGTACCTCCTCCTGGTCCACAGGCAACTCCTGCCCCGTCGTCAACTTAAAATACCCCCTAAGCACCAGCACCAACTCGCAAGCGTCTCGTTCCTCTAGCGATATAGACACAGTTTTCTCACTCTGTAACCTAATGAGTACCGTCCGACTGACCTCATCGTCAGACCTCACTTCAATCTTTCTCATATCCTCTATGTTGGCGATCGGCACAGGCTGAGGAATGATGAAATTTTTTGGTGACCAGTCACTAGTTCCAGCACTTACCACTGACGTTCTCGATCCGATTATCTGACTTATTCCGAATTTCGGACTCACCAAGATCACTCTTTCCATTACGTCGGCTTTGGGGCCGGCTGAGAAACATTTAGCGCCGTAACTCGGCAACTGACTTACTATGTCTAAGTAGTGTAATTTTGCTTGGAGGGCGGTCAGCTGCCTTCCGGCGCCCGCCATGCTCGAGTGGAGCTTGAGGAAGTGAGCCACCAGCTTCCGGACCTCTTTGCGCTTCATGGTGTCGAGGAGGGACGCGGGAACGAAGCGCTCCATGCCGAACTCGCGTCTGAAAACACACTTATTAGACACGAACATCGAAATATCTGCCCTTAAGAGCACTCCAGAAAGAATTTTCGGGCACTAGTTTTCACTTGAGGTTTCCACACGTCCGAATTCGTACAAAAATCACAAAGGGATTCGTCGCTTGAGAACTTGTTTGATCTACAGACCAGAGTGCGCTCAGGCCAATATCGTCTCTAAAGGTGCAGAAGCGATTTGGTTGTTTCACTCGATTTTGACATGCAACTATTTTTTTGTTCAACTTTTAGTAACAATTGTGGTTATTTTCGATGATATGATATTGTTACGAAATAAACCCATACGCCGTCCCAGTACGACGCCTATGGGTTTTATGGTATAGTGTCTCGATTGCGGGGTCCAGAAAAACCTCGAAGCGGCGTTCACGAGCCATCCAGAGGGACGTATGGGTTTAAATAGAGGGCACCTTCGGGAACGGATTGTTCAGTCAATTCAGTTGACGATAGAGAATCCAGTCAAGTTGCACCGGAATTATTTTGTACATAATTGTTGTGTTGTGTAAATTTGTGTTATTGAGAAATGAATTGTTGAGTTTTACCCACGTCGATTTTCGATTACCGCTCTACGTAACAATATTAACACTGAGAAAAAAAAAAGCATCAAAAAACTGGAAAATCCAAAAAGTAAAAAATCGAAAAGCTGAGAAATCGAAAAATCAAAGGATCGAAAAATCGAGAAGTCGAAAAGTTAAAAATTGAAATATTTCGGTTTCTCAATTTTTCGAATTTCCGACTTCATGACTTTTCGATTTCATGATCTTTTGATCTTTCGATTTCTCAATATTTCAATTTTTCAATTTTTTGAATTTTTAAATTTTTTGATTTTTCGATTTATCGAGATTTGGATGTTTCAATGTTTTCATTTCTCAATTTCTCGATTTATCAATTTTTCAGTTTTTAACTTTTCTCGATCTTTTGATTTTTCGATTTCTCAGTTTTTCGATCTTTTCTTTTGGGTTTTTCCATTTTCCAGTTCTCGATGTTTCGATTGTCAGATATCCGATTTTTAAATTTTTCGATTTTTTAAATCTCGATTTTTCGTTTTAATTTTGGATCTTTTCAATTTTTTGATGTTTTGATTTTTCTGTTTTCAGTTCTTCGATACTTCTATTTTTCAACCTTTTATTTTTAAATTTGACATTTTTAAATTTTTCGGTTTTACGTTTTTTGAAATTTTTCAAAAATTTCGATTTTCGACTTTTTAATTTTTCATTTTTTAAATTTTTCGATTTTTTATTTTGGCCAATTTCGGTTTCGAAGTTTTTCCATTTTTCCATTTTTTTGTTTTTTAATTTTTCCGCTTTTAGATTTTTCGAATTTCCAATTTTTCGACTTTTAACTTTTCGTTTTTTCGATTTTGGACTATTTCGGTTTCTCAATTTTTCGAATTTCCGACTTCATGACTTCGATTTCATGATCTTTTGATCTTTCGATTTCTCAATTTTTAAAATTTTTGAATTTTAAAATTTTTTGATTTTTCGATTTATCGAGCTTTGGATATTTCAAAATTGAGAAAAAAATACACCAAAATCAAAAAAACAAAAAGTTAAAAGTTGAAAATTTAAAAAATCGAAAAACTAAAAAATGAAAATTTAAAAAGTCGAAAATCTAAAAACTGAAAAATTTTAAAAAACGTAAAACGGAAAAGTCCAAAAATGTAAAATTTAAAAACCGAAAAACGAAAAATCGGCTAACTGAAAATCGAAACATCGAAAAACTGGAAAATGAAAAAACCGAAAATCCGAAAATTTAAAAATCGAAAAACTGAGAAATCGAAGAATCAAAAGATCGAGAAATCGAAAAGTTAAAACCTGAAAAATTGATAAATCGAGAAATTGAGCAATGAAAACATTGAATAGAATAATCAAAAAATTTAAAAATTCAAAAAATTCAAAAATTGAAATATTGAGAAATCGAAAGAACAAAAGATCATGAAATCGAAGTAATGAAGTCGGAAATTCGAAAAATTGAGAAACCGAAATAGACCAAAATCGAAAAAGTTAGAAGTCGAAAAATTGGAAATTCGAAAAATCTAAAAGCGGAAAAATTCAAAAACAAAAAAATGGAAAAACTGTGAAACCGAAATAGGCCAAAATAAAAAATCGAAGAATTTTAAAAATGAAAAATTAAAAAATCGAAAATCTAAATTTTTGAAAAATTTCAAAAAACGTAAAACCGAAAAATCCAAAAATGTAAAATTTAAAAATAAAAGGTTGAAAAATAGAAGTATCGAAGAACTGAAAACAGAAAAATCATCAAAACATCAAAAAATTGAAAATATCAAAAATTCAAAAATCTAAAATTTAAAAACCGAAAAACGAAAAATCGAGATTTAAAAAATCGAAAAATTTAAAAATCGGATATCTGACAATATAAACATCCAAAACTGGAAAATGGAAAAATCGAAAAGTTAAAAATTGAAAATTTGATAAATCGAGAGATTGAGCAACGAAAACACTGAAACATTCAAATCTCGATAAATCGAGAAATCAAAAAATTTAAAAATTCGAGAAACTGAAAAATCGAAGTCCTGAAGTCGAAAAATCGAAAAATTGAGAAACCGAAATAGACCAAAATCGAAAAGTTAAAGGTTGAAACATTAGAAATTCGAAAAATCTAAAAGCGGAAAAATAAAAAATCGAACCATATAAAAAATTAAAAATTTTAAAAAACGTAAAACCGAAAAATCCAAAAATGTAAAATTTAAAAATCGAGATATCAAAACTACTAAATTTAAAAAATCGAAAAATTAAAAAATCGGATAACTGAAAATCGAAACATCGAAAAACTGGAAAATGGAAAAACCGAAAATCCGAAAAGTAAAAAATCGAAAAACTGAGAAATCGAAAAATCAAAAAATCGAGAGCAATGAAAAATATTAAAACATCCAAATCCCGATAAATCGAGAAACCAAAAAATTTAAAAATTCGAAAAATTGATATATTGGGATTTCGATTTCTCACTATTTGAATTTTTCAAAAATCAAAATATCCAGAAATTGAGAAGTCATGACGTCGAAAAATCGAAAAATAGAGAAACCGAAATAGAACAAAATCGAAAAAATGAGAAGTTAAAAGTTGAAAAATTCGAAATTCGAAAACACTAAAAGCGGAAAAATAAAAAAACGAAAAAACGGAATAATGGAAAAACTGCGAAACCGCAATTGGCCAAAATAAAAAATCGAAAAATTTAAAAAATGCAAAAATTAAAAAGTCGAAAATCTAAATTTTTGAATAATTTTAAAAAACGTAAAAGCGAAAAATCCAAAAATTGAAAAATAGAAATATCAAAAAATCGAAAAGATGAAAAATTATAAAATCTAGATTTTAAAAACCGGAAAACGAAAAATTGAGATTTCAAAACTACTAAATTAAAAAAATCGAAAAATTTTAAAATCGGATAATTGAAAAACGAAACATCGAAAAATTGGAAAATGGAAAAACAGAAAATCCAAAAAGTAAAAAATCGAAAAACTGAGAAATCGAAAAATCAAAAGCTCTAATAAAAACTGAAAAATTGATAAATCGAGAAAGAAATTGAGCAATGAAAACATTGAAACATCCAAATCGTGATAAATTGAGAAATCAAAAAATTTAAAAATTCGAAAAATTGACATTGAGATTTCGATTTTTTAATATTTCAATTTTTCAAAAATCAAAAGATCCCGACATCGAAAAGTCATGAATTCGGAAAATCGAAAAATGAAATAGACCCAAATCAAAAAAACGAAAAGTTAAAAGTTGAAAAACTGCAAAATTCGAAAAGTCTAGAAGCGGCAAAATAAAAAATGAAAAAATAAAAGTCGAAACCCAAATTTTTGAAAAATTTTAAAAAGCGTAAAACCGAAAAATCCAAAAATGTAAAATTTAAAAAATCGAAAAACTGAAAAATCGGATTGCTGAAAATCGAAACACCGAAAACCAGGAACATCGAATAACCAAGAAGTCGAAAAATCAAAAGATCAAGAAATCGAGAAATCGAGAAGTCGAAAAATTGAGAAAACGAATAGGCCAAAATTGAAAAATCCAGAAATTGAACAGTCAAAACATCGAAACATTTAAGTCTCGATAAAACGAGAAATCAAAAAATTTCAAAATTCGAAACACTGAAGTATTAAAAAATCGAAAGATCAAAAGATCGAAAAATCGAAAAGTCACGAAGTCGAAAAATCGAAAAATTGAGAAAAAATGGAAAAACTGAGAAATCGAAATAGGCAAAATAAAAAATCGAATATTATAAATAGAAAAACTCTTAAATCGAAAAACTGAACAATCAAAATATCGAAAAATTTCAACAATGAAAAATTAAAAAATCGAAAAATGTAAAAAATTGAAAAACCAAGAGGTCAACAAATCGAAGCAAAAAAACGAAAAATGTAAAATTTAAAAAATCGAACCTTCAAAAAATTGAAAAAAGAGAAATTCAAAATTCTAAATTTTAAAATCCGAAAAACGAAAAATTGAGAAATAAAAACTCGTAAATTTAAAAAATCGAAAAATTGAAAACTCCCATAATTGAAAACGGAAAAATCAAAGGATCTGAAATCGAAGTCATGAAATCGAAAAATCGAAAAACCGAAATAGACCCAAATCGTAAAAACGAAAAATTAAAGGTTGAAAATTTGGAAAATCGAAAAATCTAAAAATTGGAAAATTGTGAAAAATGTAAAACCGAAAAAAAATCGAAAAGATGAAAAATTTAAAAAACGGATAATTGAAAATCAAAAATCGAAAAATTGAGAAATCGAAAAATCGAAAGATCGAGAAATCGAAATGTTAAAAATTGAAAAATTGATAAATCGAGAAATTGAGCAAAAAAATTGAAACATCCAAATCTCGATAAATCGAGAAATCAAAAAATTGAAAAATTCGAGAAACTGAAAAATTGAAATATTGAGATTTCGATTTCTCAATATTTCAATTTTTCAAAAATCAAAAGATCCCGAAATCGAAAAGTCATGAAGTCGAAAAATCGAAAAATTGAGAATATATATATATAAATAGACCAAAATCGAAAAAATGAAAAGTTAAAAGTTGAAAAATTAGAAATTCGAAAACTCTAAAAGCGGAACAATAAAAAAAAAACGAAAAAACAGAAAAATCGAAACCGAAATAGGCCAAAATAAAAAATCGAAAAATTTAAAAATTGAAAAATTAAAAAATCAAAAATCTAAATTTTTGAAAAATTTTAAAAATAGAAATATCGTAGAACTGAAAATCAAAAAATCGAAAAGAAGAAAAATTTTAAAATCGGATAATGCGTTTTTTCGGAAAATTTTAACATCGAAACACTGGAAAATGGAAAAATGGAAAATCCGAAAAGTGAAAAATCGAAAAACTGAGAAATCGAAGAATCAAAAGATCGAAAAATCGAGAAGTTGAAAATTTAAAAATTGATAAATCGAGAAATTGAGCCATGAAAATACTGAAACATCCAAATCTCCAGAAATCTAGAAATCAAAAAATTTAAAAATTCGAAAAACTGAAAAATTGAAATATGTATTGAGATTTCGATTTCTCAATATTTCTGAAAAAACGGAAAAATGGAAAAAGTGCGAAATCGAAATAGGCCAAAATACAAATCGAAAAGTTATAAATTGAAACTCTTAAATCGAAAAACTGAACAATCAAAATACGAAAAAATTTAAATTATGAAAAAAATCCAAAAATTTTTAAAATCGAAAAACCACGATATCAAGAAATCAAAAAAAAATCGTAGAACCGAAAAATCAAAAAATGTAAAATTTAAAAAATGTAAACATCAAAAAATTGACAAAATGAAAAATGAGAAATAAAAACTCGTAAATTTAAAAAATCGAAAAATTGAAAAATCGGATAACTGAAAATGGAAAAATCGAGGCCATGAAGTCGAAAAATTGAGAAACCGAAACGGCCAAAATCGAAAAAACGAAAAGTTAACAGTTGAAAAATTAGAAATTCGAAAACTCTAAAAGCGGAGAAATAAAAAAAAAACGAAAAAACAGAAAATCGAAACCGAAATAGGCCAAAATGAAAAATCGAAAAATTTAAAAATTGAAAAATTTAAAAGCCGAAAATCTAAATTTTTGGAAAATTTTAAACGTAAAACCGAAAAATCCAAAATTGTAAAATTTAAAAAATCGAAAAAGATCAAGAAATGGAGAAGTCGAAAAGTCGAAAAATTGAGAAACCGAATAGGCCAAAATTGAAAAATCCGGAAATTGTACAGTCAAAACATCCGAATCTCGATAAATCGAGAAATCAAAAAATTTCAAAAATGGAAAGATTTTCGAGAAATCGAAAAGTCATGAAGTCGAAAAATCGAAAAATTGAGAAAAAATAGACAAAATTGAAAAAATAAGAAATTAAAAGTTGAAAATTTGGAAAATCCAAAAATTTTAAAGGGCAAAAATAAAAAAAACGAAAAACCGAAAAAATGGAAAAACTGAGAAATCGAAATAGATAAAATAAAATTGAAAAGTTATAAATAGAAAAACTCTTAAATCGAAAAACTGAACAATCAAAATATCGAAAAATTGCAACAATGAAAAATTAATAAATCGTAAAACCGAAAAATCGAACCTTCAAAAAATCGAAAAGAGAGAAATTCAAAATTATAAAATTTAAAATCCCAAAAACGAAAAATTGAGAAATAAAAACTCGTAAATTTGAAGAACCGAAAAATCGGATAATTGAAAACGGAAAAATCAAAAGATCGGAAATCGAAGTCGAAAAATCGAAAAACAGAAACGGGCCAAAATAGAAAAAACGAAAAGTGAATAGTTGAAAAATTGGAAAAACGAAAAATCCAAAAGCGGAAAAATAAAAAAAAAACGGAAAAATGGAAAAACTGACAAACCGAAATAGGCCAAAAAATGTTGGCAGATGATACAACCTCTAAGAAAATAGAGGGTGGGCGGGCGGGGCTAACACTTGCTTAGATAGCGCTGAACAATAATATGGGTAGTTACTAGAATGAAGGAGGGGTGGGTGGGCGGGGCTATGCTTTCTTATATGACTCTGTAGAGAAAAACTAAACTCAAACCCGCCCTTTTTCCAATTCACTAATTTCTTTTATTTACTGTAAAATGGGAATTGAATTCTATTTTAATAAGCGCTAGAATCTAAGATTTACAAAAAAGTCAAAAGAGGCCCCGCCCACCCACCCCTGTTTTGTTTTGGTCAATCATTTTATTGGAACTGTGAAAGTTGAACTTTATGTTTAGAAATAATAGAATCTAGCATTACATATTTTTTAAATAAAATTTTTCTTATGTAATATTGCTTGCTTATAAAAGACTCTGTAGAAAAAAGTCAAAATTAGCCCCACCCACCAATTCTCCCACTTTTTGTCTTTTGAATTAAGAACTAAATCTGATACCATTTAGAATGTCAAAAAAATTAGGGTTTTCTTTTTTTAACACCCTGGCTTCTATTAGTACCCATTCCCACTCTACCGAATAATTAATCCCGCCCACCCACCACGATTTCATTTCTCTGATTCGTTTTATCTGGTGTGAATGAAAGGTGGATGTTTTAGTGAGCAGAAATAATATTGTTAGAATGAGAACAGCGCGAGTGGGCGGGACTAGTGCTTGCTAAGACAATACTAATTTTGGCAGATGATACACCCTCTAAGAAAACAGAGGGTGGGTGGGCGGGGCTAATATTTGCTGAGATAAGGCTGAACAATAATATGAGTAGTTACTAGAATGAAGGAGGGGTGAGTGGGCGGGGCTATGGCTTTCTTATAAGACTCTGTAGATAAAAACTAAACTCAACCCCGTCCACAGCCTTTTTCCATTTCACTAACTGCCTTTATTTACTGTAAAATGGGAATTGAATTCTATTGTGATAAGCGATAGAGTCTAAGATTTAAGAAAAAGTTAAAAGTCGCCCCGCCCACACACGACTATTCCGCTTTGTTTTCAACAGGCTAGGTTCTATTAGTTCTCATTCTCACTCTACCGAATAATAAACTCCGCCCACCCACCACGCCTCCATTTCTCTGATTCGTTTCATCTGGTGTGAATGAAAGGTGGATTTTTTAGTGAGCAGAAATAATATTGTTAGAATGAAAACAGCGCGAGTGGGTGGGGCTAGTGCTTGCTAAGACAATACTAATTTTGGCAGATGATACACCCTCTAAGAAAATGGAGGGTGGGTGGGCGGGGCTAGTACTTGCTGAGATAAGGCTGGACAATAATATGGGTAGTCACTAGAATGAAAGAGAGGTGGGTGGGCGGGGCTATGGCTTTCTTATAAGACTCTGTAGATAAAAACTAAACTCAACCCCGTCCACAGCCTTTTTTCCATTTCACTAACTGCCTTTATTTACTGTAAAATGGGAATTGAATTCTATTGTGATAAGCGATAGAGTTTAAGATTTAAGAAAAATTTAAAAGTGGCCCCGCCCACCCACCACTATTCCGCTTTGTTTTCTTTTTTAACAGGCTAGGTTCTATTAGTTTTCATACCACTCTACCGAATAATTAACCCCGCCCACCCACTAGGCCTCCATTTCTCTGATTCATTTTATCTGGCTTGAATGAAAGGTGGAACTTTTGCTGAACAGAAATGAAATCGTTAGAATGAGAACAGCGCGAGTGGGCGGGACTAGTTACCTGCTAAGATGAGACTAATTTTGGCAGATGATACATCCTCTAAGAAAATAGAGGGTGGGTGGGCGGGGCTAAAGCTTGCTGAGATAAGACTGAACAATAATATGGGTAGTTACTAGAATGAACTACTCAACCCCGTCCACCGCCTTTTTTCTATTTCACTAACTTCTTTTATTTACTGTATTGAATTCTATTTTAAAAAATAATTTTTGCAATCTCATCGTGACGTACGATGACGTCACTGTCACGTGAGCTATCTGAGCAAAGGCCAAGTTTTTCGTTCAGTTTTGATTTCGGTCTGGTAGCAGCAACATCGGAGCATTCGGAGCTCCGTTTTTGCTTACAAGTAACGCGTTTTCGCGAATTTCTAATTTATTACCAAACTTAATTAAAAAATTATTTCTTAATTAAACAAGAATAGTTGTATGTCAATAATTAACACATGTACCTACCAAAATGTTCACTTATTCGTTCTTTCCCGTAGAAATTATGGTCGAACCAATTAGGATGTGTATCAGATCATGGATCATGGGTTATGGATCAAATCGTTTCTGAACGCTTAGAGTCGACATTGGCTTGAGTGCCTCTGGTTTGTAGATCAAACAAGTTTTCAACTTTTAAGTACTTTCAACATCAACAACCAAGAAATTTTAGCAAGAAATCTTATTTTTATAATGGGTGTCACAGGTTAGTTATTTTGTACGAATGCGAACGCGCCGCCCCCGGATGGCGGTAGCTTACTCTATCGTCTTGACGGTGAGCTTCGCCGCCGGGATGTTATTGGCGAGCGAGTGCTGGTAGATGTGGAGCGCCGCCAGCCGGATGGCGGTGTCGTACTGGAGTTCCGGGGCGAACCTCTCCTGGATAACGTCATTGCAGCACTGCGTGTACAGGTAATCCAGCGCGTTGAGGTCCCTTTGAGCGAGCGCAGCTGCGGACGGCGGCACGAAGGCCACGCGGAAAAGACAGCGGAGTTTGTGAGCCCCCGGGCGCGAGGCGATCTGAAAAGTCGTTATTCCTCTGAAGTCCGGAAAGATTTGGCTAAGACGGGCGGACACCAGCAGGAACTTTACAATTCCGATTTATCCGTTCGTGCATCGAGCATAATCTTACCCTGGCGAGAGTATCGGTCGGATCCAGGAGGGTCAATTTATTCCTTTTCAACGATTTTATGTGTTCAACAACCAGACTGAAGTGCTCGGTCGCTTCCAAACGCAATTTGCTTTCCAGCGACGTAACGACGTCGTGGACCGTCGTCCAAGCGTCATATTTGAACGATTTAGTTTGGCCGTTCTCCAGAAAGACTTTCAAGACGTTGGCCATGGGGGCGACGCACAGGTCGCCGAGGGAGAAGGCGGACGGCTGAAATGGCCACTTTGAGAAAAACGAAACCGGGATTTTTTTATTTGGGGTTGGGGGTACCTACCGGGAAAAGTGGCGCACCGTTTACGCAAACACTTTCGGCGAAGCGGACCCTCGAAGGTTTGGATCGCAGGCGGGCTCGCTTGCTGGCCGAAAGGAGGGTCGACTTCCGGATTCCCTGTTGTTCGGGGGGCTGGCACACGACCAAGTTCACGGTTTTCATGCACGCCCGCACCAGCGAGATAACGTGTTCCCGAGGTGCCTGCTTCACGTCTTCGCCGTTCACGGACAGGATCTGGTCGCCGGGGAGCAACTGAAAAAAAAAAGAAATCGATGCGATCTTAGCAATGCCAGGGAATTCTGAAACCCATTTCGCTTTATCGTGATACTGACGTGATTGACGCTGGGTCCTCCTTCGGTGACGAACCTCACGATGACGGGCCTTTCGGAACCGGCGACGAACCCGAAACCCAGGTCGGGACACCGTTCCAAGGTTACGGAGCGGGGTTCTGGGATCGGGGCCGGATCTAGGTGCTTCATTATGGGAGTTTCGTACGTCGTGGTCTTGTTTACGTGACTGCAACAAAAAGGTGGATGTAGATGATAGGCAAATTTCAATTAGGTGACATTTGTTGCTCTTATATAAAACTAGCTGAGCAACATCTGCAATTTTAGTTATTTTTTGCTGAATAATTTCACCAACAACAATGTTTTTAAAATTAACGATTTGCCCACAGATTGCACAAGAAACATCTTCTTCGTATTTATTTGTCAACTTTGATGCTGCCTCCACAAATTCTTCGTCTGTACTATTCAACATTTCCTGTGGTTCCAGAAAAGAAAAATAGTTTCTGACGTTTTTCATGCTTTCAAACCTATCTTTAATTTGAATATTTAAAATATCAAGAGCAGGATAGAAAACGGTTGTTTTAAATTTTTCAGTGGGATCTTTGAAAACGGTATCTTCACATAATTCGTCATGAAACAGTTTTACATTTTTTATACGTTTATTTGAAAAAGAATTGTTAATTTTACAGGAATCACCACATTTCCTTGATTTCTCCATTATTTGTTCAAAATTGTCACGTATACTTTGAAATTTGTCTTTTAGATGTTCCATCCATTTACAAGCCTCATCTAAAGTAATATTTGAACTCTGTAAAGTTTTTGAGACCAAATTAACATTTTCTAAAATTTTGCATTGAAATACTAATAGAGCAACAAATTCAAATGAATCCATTTTTTTACGAAGGGCTACAGCTTCATCTATTTCACTTTTCTTTTTTGATGTTAAAATAATTTCAGCTCATAACTGTTGAGAGATTATATCTAATGGCATTTAGAGAATCAAATCTCGACCATCTGGTGGGGCATAACTTTTTTAAAGTTTTTTTTATAACACACTTATCATTTTCTTTCATCTCAATGTTGTTGTTGTTGTTGCCATCTCGGTAAACTCTCACTGAAATAGACGTATATAGCATTTATTAAATCATAAAACGCGGAAATTCCTGGTACATACTTAAGGACTAAATTGAGGTTATGTGTAGCGCAATGAACATATTCGGCGTAATGATGTTGTTTCAAGTTCTTCATTTTTTTTTTATACCATTTTCCCGATTTTTTAATTTTCATTTTCTGGATTTGATATCACAATTTTTCGTTTATTCAATTTTTCACATTTTCAATTCCTCAATCTTTAGGTTTCTCAATTTTTAATCTTTCGATTTTGAATTTTCCGTTTCTTCAATTTCTCAAGTTTTTAGATTTCTCGAAGCCTTCATTTTATACTTTTGCGTTTTTTCATTTTGAGTTTTCAATTTTAGAATTTTTCTATTTTATAACTTTTCCATTTTGTTTATTCGGAAAGTAGAAAATTCGAAAAATCGGAAAATTAAAAAATTGGAAAAAATTGAAGAAACAAAAAATTGCAAAATCGATAAAACGGAAAATCGAATGGAATTTGTTTTTACGATTTTTTAACTTCGATTTTTTAAACTTTTTAATCTGTACTTCAATTTTTCGATTTTTGGAATTTTCTGTTTCTCATATCTAGGTTTATCGATTTTTTTGAGTTTTTCGATTTTTCCGTTTATCTTTTTTTTAAGTAAATATTTCAATTTTGAATTTTCCGATTTCGGCCTATTTCGATTTCTCGATCTTTTGAAGTCTCAAGTTTTCGATTTCGATTTCTTGGTTTTTCGATTTTCAAAATTTTCGATTTTTCTAGTATATATTTTAAATTTTCGATTTTTAAAATTTTTCATTTTTCCCTTTGATAATCTTTATGTTTCGATTTCCCGATTTAAATTTTTTAATGTGTTTCAATTTTTCCATTTTTGGAATTTTCGATTTCTCATACCTCAATTTTCCAATTTAAAAAATTTTTCGATTTCTCGATTTTTAAGTTTTCGCTATCTCAATTTTAAACATCAGATTTTCGATATTTTCATTTTCCCGATTTTGTAATTTTCATTTTCTTGATTTTATATCACAATTTTTCATTTTTCCATTATCTTTATTTTTTCAATGTTTCTTTGGATTTTATAATTTTTTGTTTATTCAATTTTTTACATTTTCAATCTTTGATTGTTTAAGTTCTTGATTTCCAATTTTTTTATATTTCGAAGCTTTCATTTTGTACTTTTTCAGTTTTACAATTTTTCTATTTTATAATTTTTCGATTTTGTTTATTCGAAAAGTTAAAAACTCGAAAAAATGAAAAATTGAAACAATGAAAAACTAAAAACCAAGAAACTTAAAAATCTAAAAAAAAATTAATGAATCGAAGAATGGGAAAGAAGAAAAACCATTCGAATTGAAAAATTGGAAAATCCAAAAATTGTAAAATCGAAAAATTATAGAATCTTGAAAATTGTAAAGTCCAAAAATTGTGACATTCAAACACCGAAAAATTGAAAAATTCCAAAAACGAAAAACTGAAAAAGTGAACAACTTTAAAAATTATAATTATTAGGAGTGTTACATAATTAAAATGAAAACTAGAAAAACTGCAATGCGGGGGGGGGGGGGGGCGCAGCGTCAAAAGGGGCGCAGACCGTAACGTAACCGATATATTTTTTAAAATGTGCAATTTTTAAAGAAGGGGTTTTATTGGAATTGAAAATGAGAGCAGGTAAATTAATAGCGATTTAACGAACAAGTTTGTTAATAAAGATGATTAATAATCGAGATACTTTAACGCGCGAGGAACGAGTTTTAATAATTTTTCTTTTTCTCAATTTGAAATTTTTCAGTTTTTGGATTTTTCAATTTTTTTTGTTTTCAATTTTTCGTTTTTGGAATTTTTTAATTTTTCGATCTTTGAATGTTGGTTTTTGGACTTTACGAACATTTTTCGATTTAATTCGTTCTTTGATTCATTAATTTTTTCTCGATTTCTAGTTTTTCAATGTTTCTATTTTTCGTTTCTTCAGTTCTACAATTTTGTCAAATAAATGTTATATAAATTAAAAAAAAAGTAACAGTGTACCTATGGTCTACAAATCCGTTGTGAATTTTTATCTTCGACATCGAAATTTTTTTGGAAAAATAAAACAAAATTGAATTACAATTTTTCGATTTCTTGATTTCTCGATTTTTAGTTTACTTAATTTTTGGATATTTCAGTTTTATAATTTTTGCAATTTAAAAAAAAAATCGTTTTTACATTTCTCAATTTCTCTATTAATAATCAATTCTTTGATTTTTCGATTTTTCCTCTTTCCAATTTATCCATTTTTTAGTTTTTCGATTTCTCAAGTTTTCGTTGTTCCAATTTTGGGATTTTTCTCCTATTTTTTAATTTAAAATTTTTCACTTTTTTGATATACCGATTTCTCGATCTTTCGATTTTTAAAATTTCTGATTTTTCGAGTTTTGAATATTTTGATTTATCGTTTTTTTTTAAGTTAAAATATGTATTTCAGTTTTAAATTTTTCGGTTTTTCGATTTCGGGCTATTTCGATTTCTCCATTTCTCGGATCTTTTGATGTCTCAATTTTTTAATTTCGATTTCTCGGCTTTTCCATTTTTCAATTTTTTATTTCTTCAAGTTTTTAGATTTTTAAAATTCTCCATTTTTCGATTTTATGCTTTGTTATGCTTCGATCTCCCGATTTTAACCTTTTTAACGTGTATTCTAATTTTTCGATTTTGGAATTTTCGATTTCTTACATCTCGATTTTTCGTTTTTTCGATTTTAAAATGTTTTTACTTTTTGTTCTTTTTTCGATTCTGGATTTTTCAAGTTTTCGATTTCTCAATTTTTCAACATTTCAATTTTGAGAATGTCTATATTTTTCAGTTTTTTGATATTTTCATTTTTCAACTTTTTAAATTTTGATTTTTCGACTTACCGGAAATCGATTTTTCGGTTTTTCAAGTTTTCGAATTTTTAAATTTAAAATTTTTCAATTTTTCGATTTTATTTTTTTTACGTTCCGAATACCCGATTTTAATTTTTTTTATGCTTTTCAATTTTTGGTTTTTCTAAATTTTTATTTTTCCATTTCTCAATTTCTCGATTTTTCGACTTTTTGATTTTGTGTTTTTTTTAAATGTTAAATTTTTCGTTATTGTAATTTTTCTATTTTTTAAATTTTAGATATTTAGATTTTTCGACATCTTGAATTCTCGATCTTTTTTCAGTTTGAATTCCTCGGTTTTTCGATTTTCCAAAATTTCGATTTTTGAGAATTTTCGATTTCTCGATTTTTCAGTTTTTGATTTTCCAACTTTTAGATGTTTCAAATTTTAGAGTTTACAAATTTCACGAGTTTACAGTTTTTAATTTCGTCAATTTTTCGATTTGCAATTTTTTAAATTTTCTTTATTTTTTCAATTCTCTGCTTTCAATTTTCCGTTTTTTTAATTTTTCATTTGCAGTTTTTCTAGTTTTCATTTTAATTATGTAACACTCCTAATAATTATAATTTTTAAAGTTGTTCACTTTTTCAGTTTTTAGTTTTTGGAATTTTTCAATTTTTCGGTGTTTGAAAGTCACAGTTTTTTGACTTTACAATTTTCAAGATTCTATAATTTTTCGATTTTACAATTTTTGGATTTTCCAATTTTTCAATTCGAATGGTTTTTCTTCTTTCCCATTCTTCGATTCATTAATTTTTTTTTAGATTTTTAAGTTTCTCGGTTTTTAGTTTTTCATTGTTTCAATTTTTCATTTTTTCGAGTTTTTAACTTTTCGAATAAACAAAATCGAAAAATTATAAAATAGAAAAATTGTAAAACTGAAAAAGTACAAAATGAAAGCTTCGAAATATAAAAAAATTGGAAATCAAGAACTTAAAAAATCAAAGATTGAAAATGTAAAAAATTGAATAAACAAAAAATTATAAAATCCAAAGACACATTGAAAAAATAAAGATAATGGAAAAATGAAAAATTGTGATATAAAATCAAGAAAATGAAAATTACAAAATCGGGAAAATGAAAATATCGAAAATCTGATGTTTAAAATTGAGATAGCGAAAACTTAAAAATCGAGAAATCGAAAAATTTTTAAAATTGGAAAATTGAGATATGAGAAATCGAAAATTCCAAAAATGGAAAAATTGAAA